GATCGGTTTACTCAAATATGTGTAATTACAGCCATAGGCTATGTGTGCACTATGAAGTACTTTTTAGATAAGCTTTAAAAAGTCACAATAAGAAGTAGGTATTTAGCCTTAGTGGTTAAGACCCCTCATGTCCCACATCAGAGTACCTGGATTGGATTCCTGGCTCTGGCCCTTGACCCCAGCTTCCTTCCCTGAGCAGGCTGTGGGAGGTGTTGCCATCACATGAGAGACCTGGATTGGGTTCCAAGTTCTCAGCTTCAGCCTGGCCTAGTCATTGCTATTGTGGGGATTTGGGAAGTGAACCAATGATTGGAGATTTCTCTGTTTTTCTGCCTGTTTTAAAAACCACATAAATAGCATTCAGTTTAGAATTGAATGCAACCTGATGTCCCAAACATGGAAATCCTTGTAATATTACTCCTTAGAGCTTGAAATTCATTAAAAATTAGTTGGATCCTGGATCACACCATCCACTGTGATAGTTTTCACAGACTCAACAAGATTTCATTTTATAGAAGTTCCAATATTTAATTTTTAAAAGACTTTATTTGAAAGAGTTACAGAGAGAGAAGGATAGAGAAAGAGAGATCTTCCATTCACTGGTTCATTCTCCAGATAGCTACTATGGCCTGCACTGAGTTAGGCCAAAGCCAGGACCCAGGAGCTTCATCAGGTCTCCCACATGGGTAACAGTAGCCCAAACATTTGGGCCATTTTCTGCTGCTTTTCTCAGACCATTAGCAGGGAGCTGGATCAGAAATGGAGCAGCCAGGACATGAACCAGCACCCATATGGGATGCTGACATGAAAGGTAGTAATTATACCCTCTATAACAATGCTGGCCTCCTAATGTTTGTTTTATTGCTTTCATCTATTTGAAAGGGTAGCTAAGAGTGACAGAGTACCACACAGCGGTGCCATGTTATGCTTACTATTCTCTCCAAGTGCCTACAGTAGCCAGAGTGAGGTTAGGCTGAAGCAAGGAACCTGGAACTCCCACATGGGCAGCAAGGGCCCAAGCACTTGAGCCACCACCTGCCTCTCCCACAGTACACTTTTGCAGGAGGCTGAATTGGAAGTAGAGTAACTAGGACTCAAACCAACGTTCAGATGTGGGACTCAGATATCACAAGTGGTAGCTTTACCTACTGCACCACAACGCCTGCCTCCCCAACATTTAATATTTGAACAAGGTTTTAGAGTAAGTCTTTTTTTTAAGATGTATTTATTTTATTTGAAAGGCAAAGTTACAGAGAGGCAGAGGCAGAGACAGAGAGAGACACACACAGAGACACAGAAAACAGAGAGGTCTTCCATCCGCTGGTTCACTCTCCAACTGCCCACAACAGCAAGATCTGTGCCAATCCAAAGCCAGGAGCTTCCTCCAGGTCTTCCACATGGGTACAGTGACCCAAGGACTTGGGCCATCTTCCATTGCTTTCCCAGGCCATGGCAGAGAGCTGCACCAGGAGTGGAGCAGCTGGGACTCGAACTGGTGCCCATATGGGATGCTGGTACCACAGGTGGCAGCTTTACCCACTACGCCACAGCACCGGCCCTCTTATTTTTTTTTTCTTTAAAGATTTATTTATTTGAAAGGCAGAGTTCGAGAGAGAGAGAGGAAGACACACACACACACTCACTCACACACTCTACAGGGATGGGGAGTGAGGAGGGGGAGATATCTTCCATCCCCTGGTTCACTCCCCAAATGGCCACAACGGCTGGAGCTGGGTTGGTCTAAAGCCAGGAGATTCTTGCAGGTCTCCCATGTGCTTACAGGAGCCTAAGTACTTGGGCCACCTCTGCTGCTTTCTCAGGTGCACCAGCAGGGAGCTGATTCAGAAGTGGAGCAGCCGGGAATCGAACCGGCACTCAAACAGGATGCCAGTGCCGTAGGTGGCGGCTTTAGGCACTATGCCACAGCACTGGCCCCTCACTACTCTTTTGATAGGTTGTGTGTGTGTGTGTGTGTGTGTGTTTCTGTTGTAGTGCATGTGTGGCAATCAGTTCATTGATGCTACTGTGTGATTGAATGACGTTCTGAGTAGATCATTGACAGTTCCTCTCTAACCACTGCAGTAGTCAAGAGTAGTCATTTAGAATGTCTGTAATTTCCCCACTTGGTAACCCAATGGTTGGTATGCTGCTTTAAATGTTCAAAAAGTATGTCCCTTCTGTTGGCAGCAACTGGAAACCCTAGGAATTTATGCCAAAGTTCTTGTGATATAATCCTCTCTTGAAAGGACAAAGCTTAAGTATATTGAAATGCCTGAGTCAGCCTCTTAGAGATCTACTGGCTGTACCGCTGCCCGTTTTTCTAGGATGAAAAAAAAATTTCCTTAGGAACTTGAGGCAGTTTTTACTGTGTCCTCCGAGAAATACATGTTATAACCATGCATAGAAGTCACACACCTATATGGAAACACGTATAAACTAAATGTAAATGTTGACAACAGAATTATTATATTTTCTAGTATGATGCTTAAATTTAGCAGATCTTGTTTGCTAGCTTAGAAAAAAATAGCTTCATCTCTTCTATTGACTACTGTTAGTTTTTTTAACTTCTTTCTTAACATTCTAATTTAGGAAAAGAAAAAGAGGCACCTATGATTAACTGGAGAAGTAGGCCAAGCCTTTGAATTTTTACTTGTTTAATGTTGCTCCTTCCTTCCTTCCTTCCTTCCTTCCTTCCTTCCTTCCTTCCTTCCTTCCTTCCTTCCTTCCTTCCTCTCTCTCTCTCTCTCTCTCTCTCTTTCTTTCTTTCTTTCTTTCTTTCAAGGGTTTATTTATCTATTTGAAGAGCAGAATTACAGAGAAGTCAGAGGAAAAGAAAAAGATAGAGAGGTCTTCCATCCGTTGGTTTACTCCCCAGATGGCCGCAGCTGTGCCAGTCCAAAGCCAGGAGCCAGGAACTTCCTCCGGGTCTCCCCCATGGGTGCTGGGGCCCAAGGACTTGGGCCATCTTCCACTACTTTCCCAGGTCATAGCAGAGAGCTAGATCGGAAGTGGAGCAGCTGAGATCCAACCGGCACCCATATGGAATGCCCAGCACTGCAGGAGGCAGCTGTACCCACTACGCCACAGAACCAGCCCTGCTCTCACTTTCTACATGTGTACCTTAGAGCCTTCAAGTGAGATCACCTAGCAGTGGTTACATCTGTTTTTGATTCCTGTGATACTAGTCTAATGATCTGTCACAGTAGACTTCTAAAGGGAGATAGGATACTGGTATAACGTGTAGTGGTTTTAGCAGAGGTAATGATGACTAATTTATCTGTATTCAACTGTTATAATTTTGATGCTATTTAAGATTTTAATAATTTTTAGTTTATCTAGTTTTTTTTTAAAGGTTTATTTATTTATTTGAAAGTCAGAGTTACAGAGAGAGAGAGAGGTCTTCCATCTGCTGGTTCACTCCCCAAGTGGCCTCAGTGGCCAGGGCTGAACCAGGCTGAAGCCAGGAGCCAGGAGCTTCATACAGGTCTCCTAAGTAGGTAGAACCATCTTCCACTGCTTTCCCAAACACATTGGCAGAGCTGGATTGGAAGTGGAGCAGCTGGGACCCAAACTGGCGCCTATATGGGATGCTGGTGCCACACGTGACAACGTTATCTGCTGTACCACAGTGCCGCCCCAGTTTATCTAGTTTTTGAAAGAAAAACACCACACCACAACTGACAGTAGTCACCAGTCATGACCAAGGTAAAAAAAAATTCTGAGTCTTAACACTGAACTTAAAAAGAAAAACACTCCTATCTAATAAAAACTATATTTTAATTTTGAACTACATTAATAGAAAATAGAGTACCTTGAACAAGCAAAATCTGCTTACACTTTCCAGATCATGCCATATGTTACATATACTTTATTGTTGCACTTATTTTCAGGATTAGCTATCTCATACTTGAGAACAGGAACTATGCCTCATTTGCCTTTTTATTCCCAATGACACTTGTTAGCTAATGAATATTGATTGAGTTGAATTGAGTTGGAGTAAAAATATTTAGGTTGGGGGCGGGACCTGTGGCATAGCAGGTAAAGCCACCGTCTGCAGTGCCAGCATCCTGTATGGGGGCCAGTTCAAGTCCCAGCTTCTCCACTTCCAATGCCAGCTCCCTGCTAATGCGCCTGGAAAGCAGCCAGATGACCCAAGTTTTTGGGCCCCTGTACTCTCATGGGGGACCCAGAGGAAACTCTTGGTTTCTGGCTCCTGACTTCAGTGGGCCTAGCCCCTGCCATTGCTGCCATTTGAGGAGTAAACCAGTAGATGAGAAATCTCTCTCTCTCTTTCTCTCTCTTTCTCTCTCTAATTCTGCCTTTCAAATAAATATATCTTTAAAAAAGAAGAAATAGGATAGTATGGAGAATAGAGATATACAGTCTATCTTCAGATATTTGAAGGGTTCTTGTGTGGAAAAGAGATTATTTTGTTCTGTACATTTTCAATAGACAGCAAATTAGTGGATCAAGGAGTTTCTAAACGTTAAGAGTCGTCCATAACTGGGCCGGCATTGTGATGCAGCAGGTTAAGCATTCCATATGGGTGCTGGTTCAACTCCTGCTATTCCACTTCCAATCCAGCTTCCTGCTAATGTGCCTGGGAAATCAGCAGAAGATGGCCCAAGTACTTGAGCCCCTACACCCACGTGGGAGACCCAGTTGGAGTTTTGGGCTCTGACGTTAGCCTGATACAGCCCTGGCCACTATGACCATTTGGGTATTGAACCAGCAGATGGAAGATCTCTCTCTCTCTCCCCCTTTTTCTGTAACTCTGCCTTTCAAATAAATAAATCTTTTATCTTTTTAACAAAAAGAGTTGTCTATAGCTAGATGACACTATCTCAGAAGGGACTAAATCTATCTTGAGGGAATTCATGGGTTTTAACTTCATTTTTTAAAAAACTTTGTTCAAGATACTGTATGCATGTGGCTATTTCAATTGCCATTTTTCATAGGAAGCAAAAATACTAACCTTCTCCTTTGATTTTTATTCATAGTCAAGTTCATCCGAGAAGTCACACCATATATCAAGAAGCCATCGTTAGTATCAGATCTGCCCTGGGAAGGTGCAGCTCCCCAGTCACCAAGCTTTAGTGGCAGCGAGGACTCTGGTTCTCCAAAACACCAAAACAGCACTAAGGACAGAAAAGTCATCCCTCTCAAAATGTGCTTTGCTGCTAGAAACCTAAGCATGCCGGATCTGGAGAACAGGTAAGCTGTACCCAACAAGAACACCATACTTACAGCCTCAGAGACTAACAGATGTGTCAGAACATTACATAGCTCTGTTAACTAAAGCATACGGAGAAAAAATCTATCTGCAATGAGAGATGAATTCTGGAGTTCTGTATTTATATTATTTAAAAATATATACGTATTATCAAGGAAAATTTTCATTAAAAAAAAAAAAGATTTATTGGGGCCAGCATTGTGGCATTGCAGGTAAAGCTGCTGTCTGCAACGCTGGCATCCCATTTGGGTGCCTGTTCAAGACCCAACTACTATACTTCAATCCAGCTCCCTGCTAATGTGCAGTGTTATTTTTGTTGTTGATTTATAAAGATTTATTTTATTTATTTTAAAGACAGAGATAGAGATCTTCCATGCTCTGATTCACTCTCCAAACAGCTGCAACAACCAGGTCTGGGCCAGGCTGAAGTCAGGAGCCAGGAACTCCATCCGGATCTCCCACATGGGTTACAGGGGCCCAGGTACTTTGACCATCTTACACTGCCTTCCCAGGTGCATTAGCAGGAGCTGGATTGGAAGTGAAGCAGCTGGGACATAAGCAGGCACTCATGGATGGCAGCTAACCACAACATACCACAGCACCGGACCCAAGTCGGCTTCTGGTGATCTGTTTCTTTTGCAAAATAAGAGGGATGGATTGGATAATTTCAGATTTCTCTGCTAGGTATCTGTTCTGTGACTTTGTTTTTATTTATTCCAGGAGGAGGTACTGACAAATCTAGTGTTAGATTAGCGACTAGGGGCTGGCATTGTTGTGCCATATCTTAAGCCACCTCCAATGCTGCATCCCTGTGAGCACAGTTTGAGTCCTGTCTGTTCCACTTCCAATCTAGCTCCCTGCTAACACATCTGGAAAGCAACACAGGATGGCCTAAGAACTTGGACCTTACCACCCACATGGTACACCCTGACACCTGGCTTTGACTTGGCTCAGCACAGCCAAGAGGGAACCAGTGGATAGAAAGTTTCGTTCTCAGGGCTGGTGCCGTGGCTCACTTGGTTAATCCTCTGCCTGCGGCGCCAGCATCAATATGGGCGCCGGGTTCTAGTCCCAGTTGCTCCTCTTGCAGTCCAGCTCTCTGCTGTGGCCCGGGAGGGCAGTGGAAGATGGCTGAAGTGCTTGGGCCCCTGCACCTACATAGGAGACCAGGAAGAAGCACCTGGCTCCTGGCTTCGGATTGGCACAGTGCGCTGGCCGTAGCAACCATTTGGGGGGTGAACCAAGGGAAGGAAGATCTTTCTGTCTCTCTCTCTCACTGTCTAACTCTGCCTGTCAAAAAAAAAAAAAAAAAAAAAGCCTTAACTAACAACTGTGTGTGTATACATATATATATATATATATATATTTATTTATTTATTTATTATATACTGATATGGGGCCAGCGCTGTGGCATAGCAGGTAAAGCCCCAGCCTGCAGTGCTGGCATCCCATATGGGTGCCAATTCTAGTCCCGGCTGTTCCACTTTCAATCCAGCTCTCTGCTATGGCTTGGGAAAACAGTAGAAGACAGCCCAAGTCCTTGGGACCCTGCACCCTCCTGGAGGAGGCTCCCAGCTCCTGGCTTCGGATTGGTGCAGCTCTGGCTGTTGCGACCATTTAGGGAGTAAACCAACAGATGGAAGACCTTTCTCTGTCTCTTTCTCTCTCTCTGCCTCTGCCTCTCTGTAACTCTGCCTTTCAAATAAAATAAATAAATCTTTAAAAAATATATATACTGATATATTTGTATTGCTTTGATTGACCTTTTTAGAACTTTGAGATATTATGGAAATTACTTGGTGTTACACATAGGGTTATTCCTGAAAGGTTGTGTGTTTATGATGGATCATTTTATGTATGCATGTTGAATCATGATCTTTAATTTTTTTTAAGTTTTATTTTATTTATTTGAAAGGCAGAGTTAGAGAGGGAGAAACAGAGAGAGAGAGATCTTCATTCCACTAGTTCACAACATTTGGGGCTGGGTCAGGCCAAAGCCAGAAGCTAGGAGCTTCATCTGGGTCTCCCACACGGGTACAGGGGCCTGAGCACTTGGGCCATCCTTTGCTGCTTTCCCATGTGCATTAGCAGGGAGCTGGATCAGAAGGGGAGCAGCTGGAACTCAAGCTGGCACCCATATGGGATGCCAGACATCACAGGCTGAAGCTTTACCCATGACATGACAGTGCTGGCCCCTAAAGAAATTTTGTGTGATATTTTTCATAAAGTAAGAATTTAATTTGTGGGGCTGACGCAGTGGCACAGTAGGTTAATCCTCCACCTGTGGTGCTGGCGTCCCATATGAGCGCCAGTTCAAGACCCAGCTACTCCTCTTCCAATCCAGCTCTCTGCTATGGCCTGGGAAAGCAGTAGAAGATGGCCCAAATCCTTGGGCCTCTGCACCCATGTGGGAGACCCAGAAGAAACTCCTGGCTCCTGGCTTCGGATTGGCGCAGCTCCAGCCATTGTGGCCATTTAGGGGAGTGAACCAACAGACAGAGGACCTTTCTCTCTGTTTCTCCCTCTCACTGTCTGTAACTACCTCTCAAATAAATAAATCAATAAATAAAATATTTTTAAAAATTAAATAAAGAATTTAATTTGTAAAAGAGGTAATGGTCTCAGCCACTTAAGTCTATATTTGGAATTTTTTTCTTTGAATAGAATTTGTTTTAAATTTTTATTTAATTTGAGAAATAGAGAGAGAGAGAGAGAAAGATGGGAATGTATAATAAGGTAGTTCTCACCCTCTGGTTCACTCTCCAAACACCCACACTCACTGCATCTAAGCTGAGCTGAAGTGGAAATGGAGAGCTCATTCCAGGTCTCCCATGTGGATGGCAGAGACCCAGTTACTTGACCCTTCACTGCTGCCTCCTAGGGTCTCATTAGTATGAACCTAAACCAGGAGCTGTCAAGCTGAGAGGCTGAATCCCTTCATTATAAGTTGAAAATAGGTACCTATGGTTCTGCTGGAGGAGCTGGCTGCTAGAGAATGAAGCAAAGGAATGTAAAGTTTCTGGTTTTTTTTTTTAAGTTTTATTTATTTATTTGAAAATCAGAGTTACACAGAGAGGAGTCAGAGAGAGATATCTTCCATCTGTTCTTTCACTTCCCAACTGGCCGCAATGGCCAGAGCTGTGCAGATCCAAAGCCAGGAGCTTCTTCTGGGTTTCCCACGTGGGTACAGGGGCCCAAAGACTTGGGCCATGCCATCTTCCACCTCCAACCATAGTTGAGAGCTGGATCAGAAGTGGAGCAGCAGGGACTCGAACTGGAGCCCACATGGGATGCTGGCACTACAGGCAATGGCTTTATCTGCTACACCACGGTGCTGGCCCAGGACTGTAAAGTTTCCATGCAACGTTGGGGTATGGCAGTGGGGATAGAAGGAGCAAAGGTGATTTGACTTTGCTAGATAGCTAAAAAGTTGTGTTTTTATTACCCATTAAGAAGTCTTTTAGAGCCTGGTAATCTTGACCTTCATTAAAACCGGTGCTGTGGCGCAGCAGGTTAAAGCCCTTGCCAGACCGCTGGTATTCCATATGGATGCCAGTTCTAGTCCCGGCCGCTTCTCTTCTGATCCAGCTCTCTGCTGTGGCCTGGGATAGCAGTAGAAGATGGCCCAAGTCCTTGGGCCCCTGCGCCCACGTGGGAGACCTGGAAGAAGCTCCTGGCTTCAGATCAGTGCAGCTCTGGCCATTGCGGCCAATTGGGGAGCAAACCAGCAGATGGAAGAGCTCTCTCTGTAGCTCCATCTTTCAAATACATAAAATAAATCTTTAAAAAAAATGATATCATTAAAAAAACCCTTGGGGGCTATATTCTCTTTAGTGTATTTATATGTTGAAGACATCTGCTGATGGTCAGCTTTGAAATATGTCTTCAAGAGCCGGCGCCGTGGCTCAACAGGCTAATCCTCCACCTTGCGGCGCCGGCACACCGGGTTCTAGTCCCGGTTGGGGCGCTGGATTCTGTCCCGGTTGCCCCTCTTCCAGGCCAGCTCTCTGCTATGGCCAGGGAGTGCAGTGGAGGATGGCCCAGGTGCTTGGGCCCTGCACCCCATGGGAGACCAGGAAAAGCACCTGGATCCTGGCTCCTGCCATCGGATCAGCGCGGTGTGCCGGCTGCAGCGGCGGCCATTGGAGGGTGAACCAACGGCAAAGGAAGACCTTTCTCTCTCTGTCTCTCTCTTACTGTCCACTCTGCCTGTCAAAAATAATAAAAAATAAAAAAAATTAAAAAAAAAAGAAATATGTCTTCAAAACAAAGTAGAGAAGGCAGGTTGGAGCCATAAAAGTTTTACCATGGCTTCTTTCGCAATAGGATGATCAGCCTGCTTGGTCACAGCTTACTATACAAGGAAAGGTCTTAGAAGGTCCAGGCTTGTGCAGAAGTTCTCAGTCTATTTGCTGCAAAGTAATTTGTTTCTAATTTTTATTGAATATCAAATTTTAATAATTTTTTGTAAAGTATCAACTGGAAGTGATTCAAGGTTATTCATGATGATATTGTGTTTGCTTGCATTCCAGCATGCTTTTAGAGAAAAAGAAAAGCAGTAAAATTACAAGTAGTTGGCAGAAATTATGCATAGCTTTGGTTCAATCCAGGGAACATGAACGTGTATCCTGTGTATCTTGGCAGAAAAAAGGTACACATTTACTGATTGGCCTTCAGTTACAAGAACTAGAAGATAAGTTAGGGAGATGTTAGGGCTTTATAACTTTGATCAAGCTATGTGTTTGCCATAAGCCTCATATTTCTTCCTGTATAATACAAAATGAAGATTATTGGAAGATTGAGTGAGAAAATGATTACCGAATTGGCATAATGAATTTTTAAGATACTATTTGAGGTGCTGTTAGTATTATGAGACCTTAACTAAGTTCCTTAACCTTGCTGTCCTACTGTTTTTCTCTGTCTATAAATAGGAATAATACGGGATACTTAACTCTTTCGAAATACTTCAAGGATAAATAAG